CGCCAATTTATTAGTATTAGAAACTGAACTATTTACTGACAACAAATGTATGTACAAGAAAGCGTTGCAGTCAAGAATTCAGTTGCAGCTGATATTCTTACTCGGCGAGGAAGGCATCCCAGTCTTCCAGGTCAAGTGCATCGCTCATCTCACGCCTGAGACTACGGTGCACGTGTTAGTTGTACGATATGCAAGTCGCATTTGGCACGAAGCTCCGAAGAAAGCCCAACTCTGCATAAAAAGGTCGAAAGGTCGCTGCTCTTTTTTTTTTTTACTTTTTTGACCGGACACTATGTCCGGTGAAATTGAAAATGTCCAGTCAGTGACCGAAAATGGCCGGAAAATGTCCGATGTTCGGCCGTTAATCTATGCCCTGCACAGTGTAGATGCATTTCTGTTATAACAAACTTCAGCCGTAAAGAACTAATTCTCCTGCACAATGGTGGTCGTTACATCAGGAGTCAACTGTGTCTGGCTGGTGTGCAAGAAGAGGATGACTCGCTCACCTGGAAGACTTGTCGGACGTTGAGGTCGTTGCCAATGAGCTGTTCGATTTTCTTCTGAAAGCTGAAGGTGAACGTCAGCCAGCCCATCTGTGGTGCGTTGTGCCCTTGCCAGAAGAACACGGTCGTGGCCAGCTCCTCTTGGTACGCCTCCTCCTCTTCATCTGTGCACAAGCATTCGCAGGGGGAAACATACACGATTCATTCATTCGTTCACTCATTCGTATCCATATGTCTCTTCCATTTTTACATTTTATTATCGGCTCAACATCCAAGTTTCAAATTTATTCATTCATTCATATGAAGAATTCTCGAAAAGTAAAATGGAATACTCATAGGTGTTGGTTCGCCAGAAGAACACGCTTAGTGTATAAGCAGACATTTTAGTCGGCGAAAAAGTTCGCCCAATTCCAAAGGGAAAGGCAGTTTGTCTGGTTCAAACCTTCGTCCGTGGATATTGAATGTAACAAAAGGCGTATCGACATTAACTTGGACACTGGGCCAATGGAAAATGACGAAATTGAATTCCCGACGAATATTTCTGCTTGTACAGTAGATCATTACTGCAACGCAAGGATTCTGATGCTTATTCATACACACCACAATGATTATATCATAGTCATGTCATGATTACGTCGTGGTTATGTCATGATTGCATCATGATTATGTCATAGTTACACCATGGATATGTTGCGGTTATGTCATTATTACATCATGGATATGTCATAGTTACACCATGGATATGTCATAGTTTCACCATGGTTATGTCATAGATACACACAATGATATCAGTAGTACAGGTGAATGTGTCTACTTACCACCGTCCCCGTTTGACTCCAACGGCACGAAATAGCGGCATAGGAACACATAGCTGCAGTCGGAAAAGCAGTGACCTACACACAGGCCAATGGGAGACAGTGAGGGAGAGAGAGAGGGAGTGAGGGGGAGAGAGACAGAGAACATCGACAACATCAGCTTCAATATCAATGCCACTGCTAGTAGCCAGCTCAAAAAGTTGCACAAGTAGTAGCATCACTGTGGCTATTTATAAGTCGCAGTGACAAGTGATGCTTATTGCATGTTTTTGGTTAGCCTTTTTATAAGTTTTTAAAGAACCAAAAGGTGGCAAAGACCAACAGGAATGTCAGCCGTTGGTAATCCGATCAGGGCCCCGTAGTTCCATCTCACAACAAAAGGTATAAGAGCGGAAGTACTGAAGGAGGAAGTCAAGCGATGGGAGAAGATTGAGCGGGAGAGACACAGAGAGGAAATGCGAGTGGACGAGTGACAGACAGATAGGAGAAATGGGTGGAGGATAGATAGAAGGGTTGGCTTGCAGTGCAATTCTCATACCTTCTTCCTCTGGCGGCAGTTTGACAAATTTCTTGTTCTCCAAGACGAAGCACTTTATTTCGGCGAGATCAATGTTGTAGTCCTCTCTAGACGCAATCTGTGCAAACACACATGCACGGACAGACACAGACATGACAGCCACATAAGTCATCCAACCTTTTCTTTCTACAAAATCCACATTATCTCCAGACACTGGGGTGAATAATGGAGTGTAACTGCAGTATGGATTGAGAAGAGCCAGATGGATTCACAGCACCTGGCAGAGCAGTGTCACAGAGCAGCTGTGCATTAGACATTGTAAGCCCCCCCCCCCCCCACACACACACCATACGAAGAGACAAAGCACACTGCACCGCCACTACAAAAGTCAACAACTCGACGGTGTCTGAGTGAGCAGGCACTGAATAAAGTTACAACAGCACTAGCGGCAGTCTTCACTTACGGCATCATCATCGGGAGTGTCCTCCACACGGTTACTGAATAGTGCTGACATGTCAATCTTGGGCAATTCCGGTGCAGCGGCTACTGGTGCTGCTGCTGCTGCACCACCACCAGCCTTGCTCTTGTTCTTGTCTTGATTAGTACCTTCCAACTACGAATGACAACAACAACGATGGCGACGACGACAATGACGACAACAACAA